CCTAGTTTGGTTACATGTATGATATAATGTTTCAAAAATGCGAAGAGTCCTCGTACTTAGGCTCTGAATATTACGCAGGCTCTAGGTCCTACAGTAAACACCCAAAAATAAGAATCTAATGGATTAAGAACCTCTTGGCAGAAATTTGCCATTTTAACAACCCCTTAAATAAGAACCTCTATAGCCAAACATTATCAAGCAGGTTCTTATAATATGGTTTTGAGCTAAATACTCTAGTTTCGAATTCTCCAATGCTCTGTGTTAGCCTCACTTGTGCGCAAAATATTTCTTAGTTGTGAGCGTAAAAGTGTGATTTCAAATCAAATTTTATTGTCTTTCTTTACAAATTCCATGCGTTTTCTCGAGCTATCAATGAAACAGAAGAATATGTTACTTGGGTTTGAGGCTAACACAGAGCAAACCAGAACTCGAAATTGGAGTATTGCAGGATAAACAAGCTAATAGTTACTCAATAGACCAATCCCGAATTCGCTTGGATGAACACGGAACAGTGGCTTCATTTCCAGGCTGGAGTTTTCGACAAAAGATAAAACTCCAGCCTCGGAATGAAGCCATTGTTTAAGTTCATCCAAGCGAATGCGGGATTGGTCTATTGGAAGATTGCGTACAAATACTGTATTGAATTCATATACAGTTTTTGAGTTGATTATTTACTTGTTAGAGTGATCGCACTTAATCCGTGCAACTATACAAACTAAAGAGTGATGTTTAGGTGTATTTAGTAAATCGTGCATGCGATACGCAAATTGATACAAATGAAGCATTCAATACCGTCTTGCTTCAGGTCCACTTTTAGTACAAATTAGTACTACTTATATTTTGTACAGTTGCACGGATTAAGTGCATTCACTCTACAGTAGTTGAAAGTTACAGTTATACATAATATTATAGTATGTATAATTTTAGCCCATATAAAGCTTATTTATTAGAGTGAACGCACTTAATCCGTGCAACTGTACAAAAAAGTTGTACTAATTTGTGCGAGTGCGGCTCCCGCATACCGATGGGCTGAGTTGGTTGGGCATCGGAATACAACGCAGGAGGTCTTGGGTTTGATCTGGCCACGAGGCCGACTGACGTACAAAACAATACATGCGTCAAAATGGTTATTTGTGTACTCGGTTTATTTCCTGATTGGTTTACAAATTTTACGTACAATTTTAAGCAATCA